TGCTGCTGACTACGGCCGCCACGCTGCTGCTCACGTACGCCGAGCTGACCGACAACTGGGAGATCATCCGGTTTGACCGGGCCAGCGTGCAGCGCACCGTGGACGGCCTGAACGGCACGCACAGGTCGGTCTGAAAGGGCAGCGGGACGGGCGGATACGGCACACACAGGTCGATCTGAGCCCTGAGGGCAGCGGGACGAGCGGGAATGGAATGGGAGGCATCGGAGATGAAATTAAGCAATGACTTATGTTTACCAGAATAGTAGCCGTTAACAATGAAGCAGCTACTCGGGTCTAGCATATTCTGGCAGGAGGCTTTTGTGTGATCAGCTTGCATATTCCGAGGTACCGTTTAACCCTCGCCGGCCGAGGGGGGTGCCGTCCCCCCATAGGTTTTTTTTTCGCGATACCTCCGAACACGCTGGCGATAGAGAGCTGAAACTTAGCATACCTGACCTTTGATCCACGCCGGATCTTTTGACACTAACCACATTTTCGGGTCAGGTCAGGTCACTGACCTATGACGTCATAAGTGAACCTCTGCGCGGTCTTCAGATGTCGCAACTTCGCAACGCCCTCACTGCCAGAGGAGCTTTCACAGGGAAATGAAACTTGCAGGATCTAGTATCCATTACGAGTCTCACAACTTGTATAGGGTAGTGTGGGGTAATTTGAACATATTTTTACGTCTTCTCCGTTGTACCAAATTCCAGCTCAACCCTGGATGAAGAAAAACTGCTTCAGTAGCGCAAGTGTCACTTGCTTTCACCATGCAAGCCTCATTTTTGGACGAGCCGAGCATACCTTGAATAACATAGCTTCACTTCTCCGCCAAGTCCCGGTGTGTTCAAATTGCCCCACCGTGGGGTAAGTTGAACATACTGCCTTTACCTGTCATAAAAACGATAGTCTCGCCAGCACCGATGTTGTTTGACCCATCAACAAAAAGGCAGAACAATTCTAAACATACCTGCACTTGAAAAATCAACACAACAACAAAAATAACAGTTGCAGAGTATCAATATCTGCACGCTGCACACCGGTCAGGTGACAGAATTCGCCTCTCTTCAATTAACAGAACGTCTATCATTTTTGTTCGATAAAAACTCTCCCAACCTTACTGCATCTGTTCTAGTGGTGCCAATCGAAACCTGGGCATTTGGAGTTCTGATTTTGTCCAATGTCCAATTCGGAATTGGTTGGACAAAGGTAGCAGACTGGACAACATTGGACGATGGCCTGCTACACTTCAGCGCTTTTTATAAAGTAATCGTGCATAGCATTGATTGGCGAATGGAAAGCTTGTTAAGCTCTTAATATAATGAACACTTTTCGGCTGGTAAAATTACATTATAAGCAATTTAACCCTCGCCCTGGCAGGGGGGGGGGGTCGATGCGACCCCCCCTAAGGTTTTTCGAAGGTAGCGTAAAAACGGCGGCGCGCAGCGCCGCCAAATTTGGCACAGCCTATGGGGCAACCTTTTTACATATGACCTAAAAATTTCAGGTCCGAGTGACCTAGGGTCAGGTCACCAGGTCAGAAAAACCGGTACAAGGTCATGGTCAAATTTCAATTTTCTTTTTGCACCTGTCCAACTCACAATTTTGGACTGATTTCCTTCAAACTTTCAGGATGTGCTAAGTTCACCGAGTTGTATAACATATAGTTCGGGTTTTTTGAGGTCACTGACCTGAGGTCAGTTAGAGGTCATTACGTCGTAATGTTAAGCCTATGGGAAAATACTAAATTCGGAAAATACTGGAGATATCCGCTTCGTTCCATCACTTTTGTGCTTTGAAACCACAGTACTTAACAGCAGGTCACTTGGTGCTTCTTTGTTTGGCGTACTTATCCATGGGTCAGGTCAAATGAGGTCAACTGAGGTCAAATGACGTTTTTGCCAATAACTTGGCACATAATGACGCTAGAGCTTAAAAAATGGTACCATTGTGTTCCTGGTGATCAGCCAAATCGAATGATATGCGATATGATGCAATTTGGTTAACTTGAACTTAATTTATAAATTTAAGTTTACTTAAAATTTAAGAAAAACTTTAAGTACACTTAAGCAAGCTAAAAAGTATATCATTCGACGCGCCTTGACGTGCTGAGTTCACTGGTGCTCTTCGTTTTGCTCTATCTTAATTAGATCAAAAGTTATAATTGAAAAACTTTTGACCTGTTTTTAGCGAAATTTTTACATTTATACCCCCCAAAACCCCCCTAAATATTAACCTAGAGCAACCAAATTCGCACAGGGGCGAGAACTCCAGGAAGCCCACCTACCTACCAAATTTGGTGTTTCTAGGTGCCATAGGAGCCAATCGCGAGGGGCGGGGTCGCATCGACCCCCCCCCCCCTGCCAGGCCGTGTTATGAAAAATGCCCTGCCAGGGCGAGGGTTAAATGACAGTTTTGAGTGTTGATTAATCCGTAATTTTCGGACATATTCGGACATATTTGGATAAGTTTTGCTCTCAGAATTGGCAGACGTGTTTTGCAGCGCTCTAGTTTACGGCCTATTTGGTCATAGTGACCGTGCATAAAGACTCTAAGATAAACATGAAACGAAATTTAATTTAACGTAGAGTATTCTGGATGTATTTGCAGTTAGATTGAATAATGAACTAATTGAATTAAAGCCTTTCAAAAATTGATTATTTTGACCCAGTTTTAGAATTTTAGACTTACCAACGCGATAATTTTACTCTTGATTTTAAGTAGTAAGTCTCGTGCTAGCTCTGAAGAGAGATCCTTAATAGCCAATATGTCAGATTAGCAAAAGATCCAATCCTGGCTCCTGAAATGTGCTTGTATTGTGATTATGAAGAAAATAGTGTTTGATATCGGCATTTTGAAGAAGCAGTAAAAGCTAGCAGAACGATGAAAACAGCAGTCATTATAAGTCTCATTGTACTCTCACTGTCACACCGACAGCGTGAGCGTGACAGCCACGCTGCACAACGGCACAGCGGCATGGTCTCCATCATCCGTTCAGTGACGGCCTATCACTATCGTCCACTCACACCGTTGAGAAAAATGCGTAGTTCCAACGGCCGTCTATGCGTACCAGTGCTACTACTGCTGCTGTCTGGCGATGTGGAACCCAACCCGGGCCCGGAGTCAGGAGCAGTCAAAATGTGCCACTGCTGCGCGATGAAGAATTCCAGGAAGAGGACCATTCAGTGTGGACGTTGCCTGTTGCACTGGCACCTATCCTGTGTTCGTCTGACGAAAGTGCAAGCAGAGTCTCTTGCCCGCTGGTGGTGCCGGGACTGCTTACGAAGTGATAGTTTTCCGGGTACCGTACCCGTCTCAGCTCAACCTGTCAGCACCGCTCCGACCAACGAAGGCTCCAAAAGCTGTTTAGCCAGTACTCTTGCTGCGCTGAAACGGCATAACAGAATTGTTCCTAGGATCCCCAAGGGCGTTAGGATCCAGGCGGCTGAGGCATTAACACAGCTGATAGAATCTGCTGTTGCTACAAAGTCGGAAGCGGCATGGTTCCGGCTTTTACAGTTTCCACTTGTCGCTCTTTCCACGCCAGTACGTGACAGACATGCAAGAAACGATTTGTCACTCAACACGAAGCTTAAGCAACAGATTGCGAGATACATGGCCGAAACAGACACTCAGATGAGTACGCATTTGCAGGATCGCAGTAGGGGAGCCCCGGGACGGCGGCAGCTGCGGCGGCAATCTGAGGGTGAAGTTTTGAAGAAACGTGTGGGCGCCAAGCTCTCCGATGGCGATGTCAAGGGCGCTCTCCGGCTCCTGACCTCCAGCGACACACTGGCTTTGCCGTCTGAAGAGAACATCGCCTGCCTTAAACTTAAGCACCCAGACGCCCCTGCTGACCTGGATCTGCCGCCCGCCCCAGATCAGGAGATGGAGCTGCCAGGACAGGTGTCAGAGGCGGAGGTAACGGCGGCCATCGGCACCTTCAACACCGGCTCTAGTGCCGGGTTGGATGGCCTCCGGCCCGCACACCTAAAAGATCTCATAAGCAAATCTGCTGGAGAAGCCGGGGTGCGCTTGATTACCGCACTCACAGCCCTAGTAAACCAGGCCCTTTTGGGAGAGCTGCCAGCCTTTGCATGTCCCGCCTTCTTTGGCGCTAGTTTAACTGCGCTCAGAAAACGTGACGGCGGCCTCAGGCCTATAGCGGTCGGCTCTGTTTTTAGAAGGCTGGCCACCAAGGTCGCGTTGAAGCCCCTTGCGGCAGAGTTTGGCGAAGAGCTACGTCCGGTGCAGCTTGGCTACGGCACTCCAGGTGGGTGTGAGGCGGCCGTCCATGCTTCCCGGCGGTTCATGGAGTGCATGAGCGGAGAAGAGGTTTTTGTTAAGATTGACATGAAGAATGCTTTTAATACCATCCGACGCGACTGTTTTCTCCGAGACGTACGGGAACGGGCGCCTGGGCTGTATCGTTTACTATGGCAAGCTTACTCGGAACCGACCCCACTGTTTTATGGCACGTTTAAGATTCCGTCTGCTACTGGCCTCCAGCAAGGAGATCCCTGCGGTCCAGCAGTCTTCTCGTTAGCTATTGACACTGCAGCCAGAGAAGTGAAATCGGCCTTCAATATGTGGTATTTAGACGATGGATCTATCGGTGGGGACATCGATACCGTCTGCCGTGACCTAGAACGGTTGATTCCAGCACTATCAGCTAGAGGACTTGTTGTCAACCCTACAAAATGCGAGATCATCCTGCCACGGTGCTGTAGTGAGCACCAAACGCGGTCTATTATAGAGCGTCTGCACACATTTATCCCTGGGGCTGCCTTAGTAAAAGACATTGAAGCCAGGATGCTTGGAGCGCCAATGATGGATGCGGCTGCCGAGAAAGTAATGGCGGAGAAGAAAAATGACCTGGAGCGGATGGTGGACCGGCTACAGCACATAGATGCGCACTCGGCCTTCTATCTTCTGAGAAATTGTCTGTGGATCCCGAAACTCCAGTATATCCTTCGAGCAGCCCCTGTGTACAGGCGACTAGATCTCCTGCAACCTCTGGACGAGACGCTCCGCGCTGCAGTTTGTAGCATTACTAACGTCGCCTTTAGCCAGGACAGTTGGACACAGGCAGTTTTACCGACTAGATATGGCGGACTAGGCATCAGACGCACGCAAGACCTTGCACTTCCAAGCTACGTAACATCCCTTCACCATTGTATGCAGCTGCTGATGTCGATGCTGCCCGGATCGCTACGCGCCAGACTGTCGGCGGAACAAGAAGTTACCTTGACGGACTGGAGGATGGCGGCTGAGCCAGCGGAACCTCCAACAGGTGACGCTGCACGAAGTCAGCGTGCATGGGACAGCGTACTAGCCGACAAAGTGCGAAGCAGCCTACTGGCCACCGCTACCCAGGTAGAGCAAGCCCGTCTTTTCGCAGCAGGGACGGTGGAGAGCGGAGCATGGTTGCACGCCTTGCCCTCAGCCAGCCTGGGCACGCTGCTGGACCCTCCCACCCTTAGAGTCGCCGTTGCTTTGCGCGTCGGAGCTGAAGTCTGCCAGCCACATAGGTGTCGTTGTGGCTCCCTGGCCGACAGTTTGGGACACCATGCGCTGACCTGCCGTCTGAGCGCGGGACGTCATCCCCGCCACACCGCGCTCAATGACGTGATTAAGCGTGCCCTGCAGACTGTCGGCTTGCCATCTCTTCTTGAGCCCACCGGCATCGATCGTGGTGATGGGAAACGGCCGGACGGCTTGACGCTTTTCCCATTTACTGAGGGAAAATCGCTCGTGTGGGATGCCACTTGCGTCAACACCTACGCGGCTTCCCATCTGCCGGCCACCGCCGCTGCTGCCGGCGCTGCAGCCAGGGACGCTGAGGAGAGAAAGATGCGCAAGTACTCGGGACTGGCTGATCGGTTTCAAATTCAGCCTGTGGCAATTGAAACTAGTGGCGTCTACGGCCCGGCAACAAGCCGCTTCATAAGCCTTTTAGGTGGCCGTTTAGTCAGCGTGACCGGCGACGCGCGTGAATCGTCCTGGCTGCGACAAAGACTAGCGCTGGCTGTAGTCCGTGGCAATGCAGCGAGTGTCCTCCATTCGCCATTTAGCTCTGGTCCCCTGAAGCAGGCAACAGGCGAAACGCACCTCACTGATCCGGCAGAGCGCCACCAGCTCCACGTTGACCCTGAGTGGGCTACCACACCGGATAACACCGCTAGCCGGTCAGCACCCCTCTCAGAGTCACAGGTCGGCGAGAACATAGAGTTATGCTACACCACCACCAGTCCACACCAGTCCAACAGTCACTCTCCACCACCTCCATCAGATGACATCCCTAGTATATCCGCTCGTTTGGCACGTTATCGTGAACTGTTCAGTCGAATGAAACAAGAATTCACGGAGCAAAGACTCGAGAACATGACTAGCCGCGACGTTATGGCCGATCCGGAGCTAGCCTACTACTTAACGCGAAAAGCAAAGGATCGAGCCGTGGACGCAGCAAGTCCAGAGGTTCCAAGAAGGTCGCTAACACCGTGTTGAAGAAACGCCGCGTTGTGAACAAGAAGTCGTGCTAAATGTTCCATCTCTCGTAACAATCATACGCCAGTTTTGGAATTTTGTTGTGCTTTTCACCTGCATAGCCTGAAATTTGGACAAATGGCTGACTTTAATATTTTTGAACGGAAATCAACGAAAATGCCGGACATTAGACGGATATTAGACGTAAATTTTATAAAACTGGCATCACTAATCTGCTACTGCTTTGGGTCGAAAATATTGGCAAAAAAAAAACTGGGAGCGTTGTTTTTTTCGGACCTATCCCTGTCTTCACTGAAATTCTTACACTATGTTCAAATTACCCCACGCTAAAAGTTATTTTGTCATATTTAAAAACAGGTTTCAAAATCAAATTTATTGGATTGAAGGCACTGATTAGGTCATTGTACAACAAAAGTCGTTGCGTATTAGGCGCTAGCAATGCAAGATTTTGTGCTGCAATGAAGTTGCATTGACGTGTTTTTAGGCGTTTTTACTTCCGAAATTGATTTTTTACAGTGTGCGTCAACATCTTCATTCCCTGAAACTTTAAACCCCGTTCATATGATAGCCCTTTTATTTACGATGATTTCCCTCATTGGTCTTATTGTCATGGCCACTTATGGATTTTCCGTAATTTTGTGTTTTTCACACTATGTTCAAATTGCCCCACATGTTCAAATTACCCCACCCTACCCTATCTCGGATTTTTCCTAAAGGTCATATGAGGTCAGGTCATTTTCGTGACCTCACCATTATAAGTCAATGGGCCTGCTATTCAGGCGCCGGGAACGATCTCCAACTTTCTCAAGCACACAGAATCGTGATTTGATGCACTCCTTGCAAGGTTAGATGCGTCACTTTTGCAATGTTGCCCTTGCGTGACGTCATTTATGACGTCATCAAGGTCATATTAGCTTTTCGTCAATAACTCCCGATCAAATTGAGCTAGCGAGTCGGGAAAGCCACCAATGGACTCAGAAAGACCTGCCTAATCGAATGATATGAGACATGACCTTTTTCGACCAACTTCGTGACCTGGGGGCGCTGACCTGACCTTGACCTGAGGTCAACACCCTAAGTTGACCTGACCCGAACAAAAAGTATATCATTCGACGCGCCTGAGCGAGGCAGACACGATGCTGACAAAATCGGCGCTATGCGGCCGTTTTTTGCGAAGTTATTCACCAAAAACTGAACCGCACCTCGGGGCACTTGACCTGACCTCAGAGGTTACCGTTTGACCTAGGACCTTAAAATCGGGTACCAATCTCTGCGTCTCGTAACGGCGCACACGCTCGTTTTTTTCCGCGACGCGCTAGCTCCACCAGGGGCGAAACGGCGAGGGGGGTCATACCCGCCCCCCCCCCTCGGCCGGCGCGTATGTAGAAAACCAATAGGTCCGGCGAGGGTTAAATTGACCTAGAATACCTACTGCATATCCGGTGACCCGATCTTAAATAGGTCATGATCGATCATGCATTACATAATTCATACGCTTCATACCTACTGTTTGTATTCATCTTTTGCGCAGCGGAAGCTTAGGACAGAAACAGAATAGGATAGAAATTCCGATGCACATTGCTATTCTGGGATACAAATACGCCAAAGGTTCTCTTATGGAACCCTCGAAATCTCTCGGAACTCAGCCGATCATAACAAATTTAAGAGGCACGCAGCTCGTCCAACTACCGCATCAGCTCCCACTGTTGTTGTTTGCGGGTACAGCAGTGACGGCGCAGTGATTTCCGCTGGCCGGCGACGGTGTCGAGATGGCGTGCCACGGCGCCGTACGGTGCGGGCTCTGTCAGTCGGTCCCGGCGCGTGCCAGGGCGGCCGGCCCTCGGCGGTCGGCCGCGGGTCCGGCGGGCGGTAGTGGCGGGTGGCGGCCTGGGCGGGTGTTTGGAGGTCATTTGAATATTGGTTTGTAATAACTTGATAGCTTGTGTTTCAACGCGTATGACAAAATGGTTCTATTGAACCGTAGTGAAGCGGGTTTTTATTTTGATCTATGTACTGGTCGGACGGCAGCGCGCGGCCGGCGTCTCGTCTCGGCTCGGCCACGGTCTAGTTTGTCGCTCGTCCACTACCGTCTCCTCGCCGGGGGACCGTTTACAAACGCAGTCGCTTTGTCACTGACGGTCGCTCCGGTCCTCCCACGGGAACGAGACATTAGTCTTGTGCCAACTCCTGCGTCGAGGAATTCTCCAGGACTTGAAAGAAATTGCCTTCCGTAATTCGACAAAGTACGAGATCACTGACCACGTTGTTGCAGATACCATGCAACATAAATCATGTAGCTCAATACGAGGGGATAGGCGTCGTTGTGTCGAATCAAAGCAATCAACATCATTCTATTTCCTCTCCATCTCTTTCTCTCTTCTTTCCCACTTAATTTTGCCCTTTATTTCTTTCTCTCTTGCGTTTTCTATCATGCGTAGACCGCAGTTATTACTCAGAACCGTGCAAGTGCAGCGCAACCTTGAAAAAAGAATGAATCGTTCAGTCTAGTTGCTCGAAACTAGAAAGTCATAACAATTATATCACTACCCAGTAACAATCCACCTTGCACATGCGTCTCAATTGTGCCACTTAGGTTTAGGGTAGACCGGGGCAAGTCGCCCCGCCGAGGTAAAACGCCTCACCGATGTTTCTCGGAACTGGCAAGGATCTGGGGAAATATTCTCTCTTCTATAAAACGTGCACTATATGATCATTATATGAGCAGACTGGAAAGAAATTGTGATGACTCCTTAGGGAGATATAGCCAAAAATGTGTTTTTGGAGTGATTTTTATATTTTGTTGTCAGGTTATGCATCATGGCGTTCTTTTATGGTCCACATCAGGTTAACGACTTTTATGTATTTTGAACAACTATTATCTAACGCTTATAATGCCGGGTTGGTTCGTGTTAAATTATGTCTTGCTTGAGTGCAAGGCGTTGTTTTCTGACTGAACTACGTGATGGGGTAAAACGCCCCAGTAGGTCGCGGGGCAAAAAGCCCCATGGGGCGTTTTGCCTCATGTGTTGTTCGTACTACCTACTTCCTAATGTTCGGTAGCTGGCAACCAGTAAGTTTCTATGCATTTATGTGTAGTTTTCTCAGCAACCGGATGGCAAAGGAAGTATTTGGTTGACAGTTGCATGGCAATAATTTATTATTTGGCCTTATGAGGCAGGTGAAAAACCTGCTCATACAATAGTGTCATAGCTGAACACCTGATAGGATGGAAGGTGCTAACTTCAGTGTCGTGCCTCCCAAGGTCTAACGGACCTCTCATATAAGATTTGGTCAACTAGCATGTTTAATCTTTAATCTAGAGTCTGGGGCTTCTTGCCCCGGGCCGTGGGGCGTTTTGCCCTGGGGTTGGGGCAAAATGCCCCATTTGCAGTTGCTTCACAAATCACTTCATAGCTGGGAGTTCGATCATAAGTGAATGAATTTGAGGGGTGGAATTTAAAGTAAAATGTCCAAAGAACGCATTGAGCACAAATTTGGCCTTGCAGGTGATGTAGGACAAAAGTTATGTAGCAAAATAAATTATCTGGGGCGTCTTGCCCCAGGCTACCCTACCCATGTCCAGCTGTGATTTATTGGTAAATACATTAGTATGGCTCATGCATGCTCAGACTTCAGTGGGACTGTCTTTATTCCATGGGCGTCTACGGTGCAGGGCCCTGTAAATAGTTGATACGGCTGCTGTCGGTTATTGAATCCATGGCCGTCCCAGACGCCTCCCCGGTTCGTGAGGGTCGGTCTGTGGGGCCGTCTGTATCAATATCTGTCCATAACTGACCACCTCCTGTGTGATTTCAGTCTGGAATGGATACTGGACGACCAGGTGGGCGTGGTCACCATTGACGGCGAGCAGCCCGACAACAAAACAGTCTTCCTCGTGCCCATGAACGGCGGAATCTGGACACTCTGCGTGTCTCTGTCAGGTGAGAAATCTGGACACTCTGCGTGTTTTGTCAGGTAAGAATGACACAGGACACCCCGTTTCCACGGTCACTGTCTGGCAAGGGGAAACTATGCATTGAACAGGTGATTCGTTTTGGGCTCGGCGTGGTCTAGCTATCACCCTGTTGCCACTTTTTGCTCCTCCTCCCGACAGGTGCACCTGTCCTGATCGAATAGATTAGCGAGGAATGGACTAGCGTATGGACCGTGGAGTGATGGGGTAGTCGTGCCACTAAATCTCTCTTGTCTATTTTTTCATTTGATTGATAAAAAATGTTTCCTGTACTTACAAGAAATACTAGGCATGAGTGAGTAAGTACGCTAGATGTTGCTAAGAGAAATCATTCAAAAAGTCAAGTGCCTGCTTGTAAGACATTCAAAACTGAGGCATGATAGCCGATGACCAATATCTGACCGCTAACCGGACTCAATCATAGACAATGTGGGTAGGCACTAGGCGGTCTGTTCACAATGGTGTTAATGTCACGCCCTCACCCCATATCGGCCCGTTGACGAGGTGCGAGTCTGTCGGCGTTGTCTCTATCGCCGGCGGGGGGCCGTTCGGATCCGTCGGATCGATCCCTGACGCCATGCAGTATGCATATCACAAGGCCAATCTCTCAGCGGCCGATCGGCGGCGACACGCGCTCCCTGCCCCGGATAATTACCCGAGCAGCGCGCAGCAACACAGCAGGAAACAGAGCTGCCGTGGTTCTCCCGCCGGTTGCAAACTGCGGTGGCTTATGTGGACTTCTTCTGCCGACTTTTTATCTGGTACGGCCAGACACAGTCAAAGTTAAATCATTGGAATCGATGGACTAACGCTCTTCGAGACCCTATGGTTCCTATTCTTGCCGACCGGTCTACAGAACTGGGGTCAGTCCGTCTCCATACCTACCCCACCTATCCATCCGTTTGTCAATAAATGGACGTCCGCTTAACTTACGGCTTTTACCAAAAGAAATCACGCGGAGGTGAAGTATTGCCGCATTTTCGGGAGCATTCAATACTGATCAATTTGGTAGCGTTCACCTTTTGGCTTTGGAACAGAACATCCGTTCTGGTTCAAAGCCAAGCCCACAACAAATCACGTTAGCTCACAAAACACACGTGTCTAAGCATCGCAAAGCAGTTATAATGCAACCACCATGCATTGTATGTACATACTAGGAACATCGCGCACTATCTCTGGAATTGAATCCGATCAAATGTGTGGCGCCGAGCTTACGTCACGTCTAATGTGTCTGGGACTCGGATGTCTCCGTGGCCATAATACCTGAAAATCGGATTCATTTAGCTCATTCCGTCTCAATGCCTCGGCGGGCTTTGAAGCGTCCCGTCGGCACCCAGCTCCGATAGCCGTCGGACGGCCGGTCGGTCCGGCGCTGTTTCAGGCCGGGTATTCAATCGGCCGGGCCCGCGGCCAATGTCGGGCCAATGGCGGCGCCACGAGACTGCGGAACTCGGATTGGCCGCTCCAATAGTCGGCGTGGATGTCACCCGATGAGGCGAATAATCAGAGTCACGTGACACCGAATTCGGGCGGGGTGCCAGCGCTCACACCGTGCTGCGAAATGGGACGTACGGCGCCGCTATAGTGCCCTGCTAATGGCTGTAAACATTGGAGAAAAATCATCCGTTGTGAATGAAATCAATTGAGCTTAATCTTCAATTTAAATCAAAACACGAAATAAACACACCTGTGCTTCGCTGCAATACCGCTTATTAAGGCTGCCAGAACGTTGCAAACAACATCTTTAAAATGTATCGTATGTCGTCTTAACCCTAGAACGCCTAGGGGGGGGGTTGTATCAACCCCCCCCCTGAGGTTTTTTCGAAGTGCACGCTAAACGGCTTGTCGTAGCGGGCTGAAATTTTCAATACCCTCTGGGGCAACCTTTGCGCATCTTTTGCCGAAAAAAAATTGATCGGGTCATGTCAGGTCACGGAGTTATGACGTCATAAGAGGTACAGCCTCCGGCCGACAGTTACCAAACGTGTGCGCCGAATCCCTAGGTTTTCTGCCGGTGATACCCACATTGTTTGATGGATCATGATGAAACTTCCCATGCATGTTGGGGCAAGCATTGGCTATCGTGTGGTGCAAGAAAATTGACCGGGTCAGGTCAGGTCACGGAGCTATGACGTCACAAGAGGAACAGCGTCCGGTACTATTTTTGAAAAGCGCCCGAACCACTATTTTGCTAATTCTTGTCACCTCAATGGGAATATGCAGCAATATTAGCTTCTTTAGGGAGCAAATGGACCTCCCAAATCCAAAAATACAATCAGATTTCAAAAATTTAAATTTTGATTTTTCGAATTTCTGCCGCCGACTGTGACCTTGCCGACTTCCGGCGCTCCCAACGCGCCATTTTTAGAGCTAGGGAAACGAAATACATACCAAACGATAGAGAATTGATCAAGGAACACGATAGTGAAGGTTTCAAGTCGATATCTCCCACCGTTTTGCCGCAATCGCCGCGGAGAGTTGAAAAAGTTTGATTTTTTCGGAAAATTTGACCTTTGACCGGTCATAAGTAGGTCAAATGTTGACCTAGGACCAAAAAATATACCACCAATCGCGAGATCTCGTTGAGAGCAATCCGTTGGTTTTTTCCGCTAAGCTCTACGACCTTCCGTTTCGAAACGCCAGGGGGGGGGTCGTAACAACCCCCCCCCCCTGGTCGTTCGTGTTATGAGAAATGGCCTGGTCGTGCGAGGGTTAAATCGTTGAACTCGCTTCGCTGCAGCGAAGATTACTTTCTTTCTCAAGGGATGCATTGGCCTAAAGTGCAGCAAGGAACACTCTGATTAATGATAAAGAAAATTGCTCCTTGTGGCACGATGACAAACTACTGGTAAACGAGCAGAAATGCGGTCATGAGACGTGTGGCTGTAAAATTATATCAGTAGCAGCTTAGCAAAAAAGCATCAGGGGATGGAGACCGAAAAATTATCACTGAATGAAGATTAACTTTAACAACCATTGTTGCTATCACATAGACTTATAAAATGTCATTTAATAACATTTTACACTTCTCCATATTTCTCACCCGCTGGGTCTATGAACGGTTTGCGTCTAAAAACTATTTCAACTCTTTGTGCCCCATCGTTCTCAGTGATTCCCCTATTGTTGATTCTTAAGAGGTGAGAGAGGTAAAAGAAAGAATCAAAAATTACTAAACGATCATTTGTTTTTATAATGCAAAGGTAAAGGGCTCACATTTTCACAACTATCAAGAACACGTCTATAATAAATGAGTGTTACCTTTGCAAAAAATATTGGTACCTGTTTGACTTCAGACGTGTACTTTTCATGCTCCAGCTTTCGTAAAAGAAAGTTATAATTGCTGCATGCGACGCTCCTCGCTACTCTGCGTGGAAAATGCACGGTTCTCTACTGTACTATTCGTAGAAATATTCGCTGGGTCAAAAGTCTGACCTTTTTGAGGAAAGCGTGAATACTTAAACCCATCATGGCATTAAGACGATGAAGCATAGGTCAACGGCATGGCCTTAGGCCTGTGGCGTGTCAAACTGAACCACCTATACGAAGGCAAGCACGAGCCGGTTATTTGGTGAGACGGGTCAGCGAGGACCGACTGTGGAATGTGAAGGGCGCCCTGACCCCTCACTCAATAAGCTCCCAAGGTATCTAGGGAGGACGTCTTGGCAATGATCCGGTGTGCCTGAAAATTTTTGAGTGACTTCGTGATGAGCATTTCACCCGCAACGAATAGCTGAAATGATATCAGTGTTAAAATGAGAAAGAACTTTTCATTCCTGGTCAATCCAATTCCGTACAACTAATCCACCAGTGCAGCAGGCGGGTTGCATTCCGGACCGCCCGCTGTCGGCCGCTGTCGAGTCTCCGCTCTCACTGAGCACAGTTCATCCCGACCGCCCCGGGCGGCGGGCGAGGGTCGTCTGTCACTCCCGTTTGATGCGCGACGTCCCGGCCGGACCTTCCGTCACCGACCGACCGTCGCTGTCGATGGGGTGTCATCACCGCCACCTCTGCCGACCGTCGGACGACCCTCGCCCGGAGACTGGCCGGGAGGTGACCTCTCCCCTTTCCATGGCGAGGGTATAGCTCCTCCCCCTCCTGGCGGGAGCTGAATACTCCCTTCCCATGCCTAATCTCAGCCGACGACTTACCTCAGATCATCACATGCATACAATTGCCTTCAATAAGTGCATAACCTATAATCCCTCTCCTCCAATACCAACAATCGCGGTTTTAATTCGGCTGTAATTCGGCTGTAATTCGGCTTTAATTCGGCTGTAGAAGCCAAATTAAAACCGCGTAGCAACAAAGAAGTTAAGTTTGTATCTATCCACCAGACACGATGCGCCAGAGTACAACGCAAAAACATGCCTATAGAAGCGCAGTGCCCAGATATCATCTATTGCTGAAAAGTGCACGGTTGTATGAGGAGACGACCTGGTGTAAGCCTAGCGTGGGGACGCCAGCCCAGCCCGGCGGGATGTTTCGCTGAGGGGCAGACGAGCTCGTTAAGCTGCGGCCAACTTCTCCGATAGAGGCTGAGCTCATAAATGGCAGAGGAGCACGACCGTCCCGGTCGGAAGGCGCAGCAAACTTTCACCACTGAGCGGCGGTAAGGGTCGCCGCTCAGAACGACACCGGTACATAACGGCACTGAGACACGGGACGGACAAACTCCGAGACACCGCTCCCAATTTGGGCCCGTCCTCTTGCCCAGTGATAATCCGCTTTCAGAATTTCAATTGTGAAACACGCTAAAATTAGAGCGCTGAGAACTGGAGCCTGACGACAGACCGAGCTGCGCGCAGCGGGCGGGGTTGGCGGCCCGCCGGGTGTAATGCGGCACAGCATAACTGCAGGCGGCTGACACTAGAGCCATCTAGGGGCAGGTATATGAACCTTCCACGCATCTGTTTGCCCGCGCGCCAAGGTGGATCGTTTTCTTAGGGAAGGATATTTATTTGCACGGTACCTACTACTTATAAAGGATAAGTAATATTTTCTTGGTGTTTATGATTTGCTTATAGAGTGATTTCACGTAGTGACTCACTCTGTACTTTCGACTTGTGGTTGCCGAGTTTCTCTGACGTTGTCATATCAAACATTTAGCGATGCCAGAGCCCGCACACGCTTCTGTCGGCCCGTTTTAGTCGTGCCCTGTCCAGTCCAGTGTCCTCCCAGCTCACCTCGTTCTGTGTGTTCGACAGAGAGCCAGCGGCGGACACTGCGCGAAGAGGGTTTCCACCACCCCATGTGCACCAACTACCTGTCTCCGGAGCTGCTGTCACGCGGAGAGCTGCGAAACGACTGGATTCACAGTGAGTAGCCGCTAACGACTGAATTCACAGTGAGTAACCGCCAACGACTGTATTCACAGTAAGTAGCCGCCAACGACTGGATTCACAGTAAGTAGCCGCCAACGGCTGTATTCACAGTAAGTAGCCGCCAACGGCTGTATTCACAGTGAGTAGCCGGGCTACGAAACGACTGGATTCACAGTGAGTAGCCGGGCTACGAAACGACTGGATTCACAGTAAATGGCAGGGCGATGGGAATGTACTCGCCGCCAGTTTAGAGACTGCGAAAATGTATTCCCGTCAGGTCGCAGTCAGAGAGACTCCATAAAACTGGATTCAGGGGTTTTTCGGACGGCAATGATGCTAGGATGGGCTATGGAAGCTGTAAGATGGCCATGAAGCCGTAAAATGACGGTGATATGGGGGTGAATGCGCTATGCAGTATGCAGTGTGATGGCAGCCGTCAGTTGCTGATAACTGTATTGGCACCCGTCTGGATCGTACTGAGAACACAACCTCGTGATGTAGGAATGCCTCAATCGGGCTTTATATAGTGATCCATGATCAACAACTTTAAAATGTCAAAAGCCCGACCTTGTTGCTTATAACTAACATGATTTTCATTTACATTTTACTAGGACTCAAACAAATGACTTTGCCAGTGGTCGGTCAACACCAAATTGGCTGTAACTAAGCACATTTATATTGTAGGCATACCCGCATAGCCGTCTCCAAACGGCCGAACAGCCCTGCTAAGCGCCCACGACTGGGTCTCCAACCGCAGTGGTATATGTGAGCGGGTGACGGCGAGACCTGCCGCGGAGTCTGAGTGGGCCGGTTCCTGGCGTTGACGGCGGCGCTGACAGTTTCAGCGGGCTGTGAGCTCCTCGGTGCGCCGTGTGACTGGCGATGTTGATTTCCCGAGTGGTTTGCTGCAGTGAGTCGGGCGCGGTTCGCGGTACTGCCCGCTCGGCCGGACATTTATACGAGCTGTGCCGTCTCAGTGAGCCATTCAGCGACTCGTAACTCGGCTCCGCGGGGCGTCGGTGGCTCGGAGCCACCGCGTCCTGAGCCGGCGGGGAACCGTGACAATCCGCGGGCCAACAGAGTCACGACAGCCAGCAGCGCAACAAAGCTGCGGCAGCCCACGGCGCTCCAACAAAGTGCCATGGCAGCAGCTCGAGGCCCAACAAAGAGCAGCGAACGGACGCTCAATCAGTCCGCGCTGGGAACTTCGGAGAAAAGCCGTGATAATTAATATGGCTAATGAAAGCCACCTGCCATTCGCTTTGAACTTACATACCGGAGACCGGAAACTAAGTGAATGTCTCTGGCTTTGATGTTGGTCTTTCTGCAGCACGTGCCACTGAACCGTCTGAAAGGTCACATGTGACAACGGGACCCCTCAGGCGCCCCGCCGGGTGTCTGGGTGTGCCCACTCCACTCACCGGCCCCCTGTCCAGGGCCTCTGTTCGGCCAGGTCACGGGTTGGTCTGGCCGACCAGGCGAGACACCGGCGTATTCTGAGCTCGGCTAATGGTGACGAATGGTCGCCGGCCGACGGATGGGGTGCGCTGTGCCCGCGGCGGTCCCGCCGGTGCTTGGCGGGCCTCCCTCCGCTGGGCCAGTCGTCTCAGAGGAGGCCGACTGCAGTGGTAATGGACATTGGACAAGGTGCCCCATCGGAACCGGAAGAGCAAAGGGAGGGAACGAGGGAGCAGCTGCACGCGCGTGCAGTGGTGACTTTTTGTACCGGTCCAGCACGGGTCCAGGACATTAAAGGGACCCTCCCACCTTCAAAAAAATTTATGAATTGGCATGAAAGTGATGTCGCTCGGTTCAGAAAGAGCGAAAACGAATATCTACCAAATTTCACCGAAAAATATTCACCGGTTTTCAAGATATTAGACTTTTACTTTTGTTTACTTTTTGGGATCTCCGCTGTTCCTAGCGACTTTATTTAAAAGTGCGGCATTTGTTGCGCGCAACGCAGCATATATCACCGCGTGCTACAAAACGTTTTAGTCAAACATTTAACGGACGTTCGAAAGCCTGATGACGTCATCAGATTCCCGTAATGGTTAAGAGATAGGGACCACGCTGGTCCCACCCTGCAAGTAAAGGGAAGAAATTTCTTGAACACCATAAAGCTGCGGGGGTTGCGACCAGGATAAATGGTGGTTTCTGAGCCTGGCCGCAAACTTGGCTATCTCAACTCAAAACTAATGTTAAGGTGGGAGGGTCCCTTTAACCATTTCAAAGATTTGCAACCACCCGTCTTTTTTAAGTGGGATACATGATTTGGTTGAAATACTTATTTATTACATGTGTTGATGTCGGTCTGTTTTCAAAATTGCAAAACATGCCCAAAACTGACAGAATATACCAACCTCAAAATATTTTCATGAGATTGAATTGTAACCGCAAAGAATGAAATGCACTGCGACCAATAACTCTTATGAATCAATAACCTCAACATTTACCTCAACACTAATTTTTATTTCCGAATGCTACGAGGGAGCACAAAATACCATACTCATTCGTCCCCGATGACCTCGCCCTACAATCTGCCGGATATTGGTACATTTCAATCGGCGTGAATAGCCTTATTGACGATAGAAGCGTCACGGCTGCTGTCCGATGGGGCGGCTGGCGCTGCCCGGCACGTGACTAAATGCACGCGGCGCCCACGGTAAATGGCCGTACTACCTCACCCCCGATCGGGTGGGCCGATGACGGCGCGCCGTGGCGTCAACAAGCCGCCCCCGGTTGGATGACGAGCAATCGACCGGCTTCACCGACCGGCGGCGCGCCAGAAATGCCTGTGGTCACGACCACCTGATCGGGGGGGGGGGAAGGGGGGTGACCTGGTCTCAGCGGCTGCGTGTGTAGCGGCACGGCGGTGGCGCTGGTACCCGGAACACCTCTATCCGGCACGCCAGCGAACGACAATGTTTTACGGTAATGTTATGTGTGACATGGAATGTTTATGTTGCGCTGTACCAGGTGTGCCGGTTGTTGGCCTTTCACACAGGGAGGTGGCGAAGAGCATCGCTGACGGTTATAATTCTCCAGTTTATTTGTACTTGCAATAACTTTAGAGGCGTTCCATGTGAATGGCTGATTTATATGTGAGAGCATGCCAGGTGTGCAGCCGTTATTTAGAGTCCATGGACTTACCTGCAGCGCTGCACCGGTGAACGACGATAGTTAAAACGCTTCTGTCTCGTCTCCTGAACCGCGTTGCAGCTGGCAACAGGCGGTGTTCTTTGGACACTTTTTGGAGTCAAGTCAGAGTCAAGATCCGAGGTTACAGAAAGTTTCAAAAACAACAGGAAGGGCCAGAACGTTCCGGAAAAAAATAATCAAAACCAGCAACGTCAGTCGGACCCAGTAAAAAGCCAATTCCAAAGACAAATAAAAGAAGAAATTCTTCCAATCACCCCCCATGCACCCCCAATGAACAGTAGACTGTCAATTGCCCACCATCCACCGTCCAGCGGGCAGTTGCCGCCTCAGCACCGCGCGCCCCTCGGGACGCCGACCCGGCAGTGACCTTTGCACGGCCCAGCCCAGTCGTAACCCCGTCACCCAGCGCAGCCCCGGGCCGGTTCATAAGCGCAGAGTGGTCACTAGCGACCGATGAACATCGGCGAGTGTTTCAACTTTCAACTGGGCCGTCGCTGACAGTTGGTCGCTACACTGGGTGACACAGTGGATGTTCATCGTGCATTTCACAGCACATGTCAAACTTCTGTCCCTCCGCGAAACCCCATAATAGTTACAGACGTCAACGTTCACACCTAGGAAACGCGCAAAACTCACAAGCGCAGCCGATAACGATTCTGCGACCTCCAAATAATGACAGTAATCCCACGGACACCTTGACGGAACCCCGGCAAGGTCGGTACGGATCGATATTCCGGGGACATCGCTCGCCACCGCTGAGGGGCCACCGTCCCTCCCCCGTTGGATGGACTAGCCGACAGTTCGACCGTGGACCTGCTGTTGACTCGGTGGCCGTTGGGAAAGGCCGAGCTCGCAGGTGTGTCGATTCCGGCCTGCACGCACGGAGCGAACCGCCCCGACTCCTGACCCCTGACAAGGAGACAGAGACCACTAGAAGCTGTGATACGGCACCGGAACGCACACCGGCTTCACCCGGAAATCAACTGATGAATGAGTAGAAGCCCCACAGGTTTGTGTGTGGATGTCAGGCCTGATATCACAGTGTGGGACCTGAGTTGCATTGATCCAACCTGCGCTACACCATTTTCAACTGGTCTGAGCCAACAGAGTGTCGTGACGGAATATGGCACGGGAATAAGCCATCCTTCGTCCTCACCCACCTGCCACCGCTTCGGATGAGTGAGTGTTGTGGCAGATTACCACTCTAATCGCTACAACCAGCGCGGTGATAACGTCAGCACTGCTGCCGAACAGGCTGGTAAGCTGCTACAGACCGCACGGTTCCCGGCACTCGAGCTGTAGGCCAATTAGAGAGATTGGAGCGGCCGGCCGCAGCCGTTTGGTGGGACGGGGAGGGACAGTGAGGGCCGGGTGGGGATGGTGGGGCTCCACGAACCATAAAATGGTGGCTAGGTGTGACCCAATCAATGGAGAGGTGGGCTTAATCTTATGGAAGCCTTAATTGCAATTAAAGTAAATTAAAGTATTATTATTGTAGTATTATTATAAAGTATTATTAAAGTATTATATTAATTGCAATTAAAGTAAATTGCAATTAATTGCAATTTACTAATGCAGACTTTTGTAGTCGGAAATTACATATACGAAGTAGCACCTGCACTAGAGTTGCAAAGTTTTCCCAATGGGCTGCTACCGGCACCGCCCCGCCCCACAAAAATTTTCTGGGATACCGGCATGCTACCACGCCCCAAGCAAAAAAAACCGCCAAATTACCGGCATACCAAAAAACCTGCATTCTTGATTCTGGCTTACCCCCTACATGAGATGCCACCTTTTGGCAATTTCAGTAGCTGCCCCACCCAGCAGCCACC